ATAACGCCTACATAACCCGATATAATCCCCAAATAACGGAGTAGCCATTTCGGCTTGTGTCTAATAACCCCTTAAACCCTAAGGCCTAAACTCTATATAAACTCGAAACCCTAAACCCCTAAACCTTAAACCCCTAAACCCTTAAACCCCTAAACCCCCCAACCCCTAAACCCTCAAACCCCCAAATCTTTAGCCCCCGCTGGCGGCAGGACCAGATCTGTGGCTTGAACTATACTACTTGCGAGGGCACTGGGCCAGGTGCTGGTGGCTAAAGATTTGGGGGTCTAAGGGCTGAGGGTATAGGGTTTAGAGTTTAGGGTTTAGGGTTAGAGTTCGGGGTTTACAGTTTAGAGTTTAGGGTTTCTTTCTAGGGCTTTAGGGTTTGTTATGCGCAGAAGCCAAACTGGCTACCGGGTTATCTTGGGATTATGGGGTTGTGTAGGCATTATGTGTGGCATTATATAGGGGTCATATAAGTGTTTCATAATAGAGTGTAATGTTTTTTGGGTCTTACAGGGGTTTATAGGGTTTTATAGGAATCCTATAGGGATGCTATATGAATATATACGTGTATTGTATGCATATACATATTACCCCAAGAACAGAGAGTTATATGAGCACGAACATTGAAGCTACTATGTGGGACCTGTAGGGCCTGCGGGTTCAGGCGGGGGGTTACGGTTCGAGGTAGGTGTGATCACGAAACACGAGTGTTATCCACAGCAGTAACACTATAAGGAGGGGATATAGGTTGTTTATAGCAAGGTACTTGAGTGCTTGAGTGCCTGGTATTTGAGTTTTTTTGACTTAGTAGGGTGTAGCGCGCAATTGTGGCCTTGCGTAAGGGGACGGTTTCTTCAGGGTTCTTCGAAATTTGGAGCTCGGGTTGGTGGCTTTCGGGCTGTAAGTCTACTTGCCAAACCATTGCCCAATATTTACCTTGATGGGTTCCATGTTTCAAGCCTTTCGGGTGTGTTCCAGGCCAGATGTGCCGGATCCCTTGTCTGGCTGGCTACATTGAGAACACCTCCTACGTCTGGGAAGAGGCGTGCTGATTTCACCTAAACCTCAAAGCCTGAAACCTAACCCACCCTAAACCCTAAACCCCAAACCCCAAACCCTAAACCCTATCCTAAACCCTAAACCCTAAATCTTACCTTGACCCTACCAAACCAGAGGTTTAGGGTTACATACTATGAATCAGATGTCCTAATGCCAGCCTTACGTAGAAGGTAGGTTCCTCTGGTGAGGGTTCCGGATGCATGGATGCTACCCTAAGAGATCCTCTTGGTCTGCTTCTTGAGGCCATGTTGGGGATTTTTTAAGAGCAAAAGGCCATCAAGAGAAGCCTGATTATTGCAGAGTGGCATGCTAATTTGGATAAGTAATCGCTGGTGGCTTGACAAGGTGACTCGCACTCAAGGCTCACTCTGAGCCCTAAACACTCGCCTCAGGGTGAAGCATGGTAGGAATACCAATATCACATGTCGGAACTGGAAGGACTCATGCTTTTTGCTGTGCCTTTTCTGGGTCCTTGGTCGGCACAGCTGTGGGTTTTGGGTCCGTCAGCTGTGTATGCACTGGGGCCCAGGATGCTGATATGGAAGACTCGATGGGGCTGCAGAACGCCTCCATGGATGGTGTCTTGTCATAGAAAAAAACTTGCTTGACTTCAAGGCATATGAGGCCCACTTGAGGTTGTTCAGAAGGGTCTGGGTGTGAAAAGCGAGCATAGGATTCATAGGGCAGGGGGGTAGTCCATGTTGCTGAAGCTTCTGTTTAGCAGGCTCTGAACCCAACACGCGCATGCTCTTTCAGCGGGCCCTATAGCCCATTTACAATCCTCATGTATCCTTAGGGTATGTGACCCTACCTGCGTTTTGAGGCGTGCCCTTCTCGAGATACCTATGCCCCAAGCCCTAAACCCTAAGAAGCAGACGTTGATCATTGCTTGGCCACGGAGACAGGAAAAGTGGTCTGAGCTATGCATACTGGATGCAGGTTAGCTGAATAATTGGGAAAGTTATGCGGGGTGCTTCATTGGTCGTAGTAGCTATATAAAGTGTGGACCTTAGATTGGTGTGACAGGGTTCTTGATTGGAAAGCAAGAATGCACTCACCAAAAAGGATAGCGCCGACATGTACCCACCCAAAGTTGCAAAATAGTAGCACCGTGCATCGTATGATTAAACTACCCTTGTCGAAATAACGCGTTGTAGGATTGTAGAATTGAAGGATTATGGCAGGGTAGTTATTTTTGTTGTCTTGAGCCGGGGCAGTGCTTCTTGTTGTTCATTTTCCCTCTGCGAGTGTGATGTGTCCCTTCGAGGCATTTTTATGCTGCAAGCCTGTTCCTTTTTAATCATGGCATTGTCTGGGTACTACTCAACATTCAGCACCCATTTTTTCGGTACAAGCGGGATCCCCTCGTTAGCAACTACTCAAGTGCTTACGCTTCTGTGCAATCATTGCGAAAATTTCCTAGACCGTGGAATCCCGGTATTCTTGGGAGTACTATGTGCGCCTTGTCTTGAAATACCCCATCCCTGTAGATACCCAGCGAGCACAAGGTTTCTGACCCCAGGTGCAAATGTAGGGCAAACGAGATGAGGGGAGGGGATCCGACATGATGAAATCAGTGGAGCGTTGAGGCTTTAGGTTACAGTTGAGGTTAATCGCTCATGGGGTCATAGAAGCATGTCCCGAATTGGTAGAATACCAGTCCACATATTGGTGATGCTGTCGCAACGCGGGTTGTCATATTCGTCTCCCTCATGTTGGGATCAATAGTTAGGCAACGCCCCATATGCCTTGATTTGGGGGGTTTTGGGCTCCCTGACACCCCTCTAAAACCTGAGCCCTAAACCCTAAACACTGAAGTTGCTAGACTTTGGAGAAACAGTTCGACAGAAAAACCCTAAACCCTAAACCCTCATAAGCCCGCCCGCTGAGGTAACCACAGCAATATGACAGCAGGACCAACCTACACCTGTCCTGTCGGCAGCTGGGCACCAAGAGCTTAAACGCCAGACTTTCCTAGAAATTGAGGGTTGGGGATAATGGAAAAGAAAATGGAAACTCCTATAGTATATTGGGGTTATATTGTGGTTCTATAGGGATAATGGAACAGAAAATGGAAAGTCCAATAGTATATTGGGTTATATTGGGGTTCTATAGGGATAATGGAAAAATGGAAACTGGTAGAGTATATTAGGGTTTCTAGAAGCAGCTTGGGGTACCCGTTATTTGGGGCTTTGGGTTTCGGTGTTGGGGTCTAAGGTTTAGGATTTAGGGGCCCTTGTGTGCGTGTTGATCATGGGGTCCATTAGGGTTCTTCATGGATAGCCACTGCAGTAAGGGGGAACCTAGACTTAGATATAGCGAGTAGTAACGAAACCAACAATCTACGCTGCAAGGCAACATTGACCCTATGAAGGTCATCACTTTGGAGCGCATCCGCTGCGAGTTCCAGGCATCTGCCAGAAAACGGAGGGTTCCCACGACAGGACCAAGTATGCTAACAAAAACTCAGGAGGAACCTCACCTTAACCCGCAACCCTAGACCACAAGGCGTGGATTCAAGCAAACCTACCGAGTCAGGGCTTAGGACTTACGGGTTGTGGTTCACGGTCTGCGTCGGGAGATTCAACATTTAGGTGTAGGGCGTAGGGCGGGTGTTTTGGGCTTTAGGGTTTAGGGTGTTTGGGGTGTGTTGGGTTTTAGGGTGTTTTAGGTTTTAGGGTGTTTCGGGTGTTTCGGGTGTTTCGGGTGTTTAGGGTGTTTAGGGGGTAGGATTTAGGGTTAAGGGGGAGCATCATAGGGGTTATCAAGGGGGATGCTAGGATTAGACTCTAGCTCATATTTAGGTGTGGGGTGTGGGGTGTGGGGTCGTCATAAGTCTCCCCTAAATGGCAAGGGCTAACTAGTCCGCGGACAGATTATGAAGGTTATGAAGACAGAGGCATGCATGGAAGTGGCCAAATCCAGGGGTTCACCCTTTTGCCTCACATACCACACTCCGTCTAGATTTGCATAAGAAGGGATCTCAAATTTTGTATAGTAACGCTCCTTAATATTTCGTTTATAACGAAATGGAGTATTTGGAATATTTGGTAGTAGGTGGTGTCTTTTAACAAGCAGCATACACTGAAAGGATTGTGAAACGCACCCCCCTGCAGGCTTGCATTGACCCACATCCTACACCTGTGGGCTACACAAAGCTGCCAAATGGTACTTGGACCTGTCAGAGTGGTGTCTTGGCGAGCAGTGGCTAATTCTATTGGGGTTTATAATCCCCCTTAGGTAGATGGATTATGAGGTAGAGGGGATCTTATTATAATATACCCAAAGCCATATTCTATCTAATTAAAGGGGATTATAACCCCGATAGATACCCTATTATACTATAGTAGTTTCCATCTTCTTTTCCATTATCCCTACTGTATATAACCCCAATAGTATACCCCAATATTCTATCTACTTAAGGGGGACTATAGGGTGTAGGGTTGGAAGCATTTGGGGTTCTGATGCTCGGGACCTGCGCTATGATGGGGAGCAATACATGCTCAAAAAGGAAGAAGGTGTTGAGGGAATCGGCGAGTTCCGTCCTTGTACACTTACATGGTGAAACCTGTATCGCCTCGGGTTGCCATGGGCAACCTTGCACAAGACTGCGACTAAGGATATGTTGGACAAGTGGTGAGGGAGTGCCACGTATGCAACGCGTCCTTGGCCCTGTCAGGCCCGACAGAGGAGAAAGAGCACTAAGATGCCCTAGTCCGTTCCGAAACCCCAGTTCCCTGGTTCCTGAACCTCCAATTTAACCTCAAATTGACAAATACTTTCATACTAATATTATATAAACACGCTCCCCACCCATAATACCAGATATGTCCCCCAACATATGAGGGGGGTGTTTGAGATTAGTATGAGGGGATTACAAACCCTTAGCCCATACTAACCCTAAACCCTAAACACTACAAACCCTGGTTTCAGGATGCATGCCGCTGGCGCCGTGTGTGGCACCCGAGCTGTCAGAAGATCAGTGCATGCTGGACCTCTCAAACTGTACCTTACCTGCCTGACGCGTAATGCTTTAATTTTGGGGATAATAGAAATCCCAACTATTCAAAAAACCTTAGATGCTGGACAACTAAGGTTCTACTCTGGAGCCCGGACATGTGTGTGAGATAGCCTGCCAGCCACCGTTTGTGGGCTCAACACCCACCTACAGCATCGCGGTGGCAGATCCAGATGCGAAGAGTCCCTTCAACTTCGGTAGTCCTTAGCACGTCCCTACAAAGGATTCCTTGAACTCATATGAACTCATGAGATTGAGGAACCCTTTTGTAGATTGAATGATAGGCACGACCTGGCCTGGCTTATGTTGGGATGACTCTTTGCTGGGGATGCCTTCATGGGGCCTGAGTGTGGGGCGTCCTCAGAACCAGGACCATACGAGTTTGGGGTATATTGTCGGGAACCAACACTATGCAGTAGGCATTTTGAAGGTATTTGCAGGTAGGGGGCAATACGCCCCGTCAAGAGCACGCCTTTCAACCAGCGAAGTGACGAAGCCCCAAGTTCAGCACTGACAAGGAGATCCGTGGGGTAAGAGACGTCAAACATGACAAAGTAGACTCGCCAACCCCGTCTGCTGAAGCTTGCGGCAATGAGACTCGTGGTTGCTGCTGGCGGAAGCCATTCAGGCCGGAAGTACTTTTTGCACGCATGGCGAAGCACTTCCTCTCCATCTGGGGGAGGTTGGCTGCTGTTAAGGAACTTAATTTCAGTTCCCTAACAGCAACCTGGTGGAGGAGCTTGGTCTGTGGCCCGACACCGTTAGCCGCGGTCCAGGAGACGCTTTGAGACCGCGAAGCTGTGCGGCTCGCCCTGCTCGCTGTGGTCGATGCGCATGCGGTGGCGCTCGGGCGTCGCGAAGACGTTAACAACAACAGCGCAGTACATCCTGGAGGTGGCGCAGTGCTGTTTCTCAGCGACAACGCCGCCAATCTGCCGAGCGGGCACCTCCTTGGTCTCCGCCTCCAGCTATGAGAGATTTCACATGTAAAGTGCGATCCAGATCAGGAATTGGAGTCTTTTGAAGCCGCATCGGACGACGGGCAAATGTGCCAGGGCCTTGCAGTATCGTCCCCTTACTGATTACTTATAAGATAAGTCTTGGCATGGTCTTGCGCATGTATGGTTTGGGGGAATCATACGGGGGCTTCCAAACGTAGGGTTTCCTTTTGTGTGGTACTTGAATATTCTTGACTACTGTGGGACATCTGTTTTTGGAAGTGTCCATCATTTTTTTCCACGAGTGCACTGTTGATAGCAACATCTTGCAGAATGTTCTACTCCAGAAAGTGGTGGTTTCCCTAAATAGGGGGACCCCAATATACATCCCAATATCTTATAATCCTTACTATGGGGACCCCCCCAAAAAGGTATCCCTCATTTTGGGAAAACCCTAAAGTGTGGTATTGTAGTCCGCTAAGGTCATGGCTAGTTGTTAGTACCAACAGGATGACCATTGCTTTCACTGTGAGTCATGCAAAGCCTTTCCTTGTAGCGCAGGGAAGAATGGAAAAGGACCTGGCAACTATTGCATTATTGGGAAATTTGGGGGGGTTCAGGGTGTAGGGTTTAGGGGATTATGTATGGGCTACTGTAGGGACCCATTCCTCAATTCCTGAAACCCGAACCCCCTGAACCGTTCGTGAAAGGTATGTGTCCGGCCGACAACACAGATCCTAGCTTCGAGCTGCTCAGATTGAAATAGTCTTGGAGTAAGCCGTCTCCCCCAAAGAATTAGACTCCAAAAGCTATACTCGCTATTCAGAGGAACTTCAAAATCAAATGGTACGCACCAACTTTGGGAAAACCCCATATTGGGGTCTAGAGCTTAGAATTAGAAATTCCCCTCCAATACTGCACCTACGAATGGGCGGTTGTCAGAACCATGGCCCTTTCCGTATCCTAAATATTAGGGGCGGTATTGTACAGGAGACCAAACAAGGGCTATAATTTTGACAATGGGACAATTTCTCCGTGCAAGAGACCTGCTAGAGTGAAGGCCCCGTGTATTTCTAGGAGGTTCGGAGCTGTTCAATACCAGGGAGAGGGGTTAGTAACTGGCAACGGTTTGGGTGTTTGGGAGTTTCTCCATATACTTCGCATGGCTTGGAGATGGACTCCTACTCGAATGCTCAGAGCACTTAGTAAGTAGGAGTTATACGTGGGGTAATAAGTGCGCTAATTGGGGTTAATCCCGTTTATAACCTACTTCCTAAGTCTGCTGGTTCTCTAAGTATAATGCCCTTACACCGCCGGTAGGTAGGATACTGTAGAAGTTGGAATAAAGTTCCAATATCACGGTCCTAGATTCGCTGTGGAAGAGGGTATCTCAAATGGAGGCGTATTGGTAATAGATTATGCCTATCCACATGAGCCCCTACATAAAGCCGCTTGCAGCTCATTTTCTATTATGTTTCCATGTGTTTCTTCTTTTGTGAATTATTCAGACGTAAATCCTATATAACCTCCACAGTTTGCCCTTGTTTGGGGAAATACTGCCTTGGGGCATTGTCATGATTCGCATTGCTCTTTCGGGTTTGGGATTTACCTAGATATCCCAGTCACTGTTGATGACTACTGCTTCTTCTACTACCACGATTACTTCCTGTTGTAAAATGGATTTCCAGGTAGGGCTTATTAGATGTTGGCTATGAACGCATGGTATTTCGCAGTCGCTGTGAAGCTACTGAGCACCCTCAGACGGTGCTTGTATGAATCAGTCGCAGGGACAACGTCAACAGGCATGATACCAGCAGGCATGCTTCAATAAAAGCAGCTCCGGATGTGCAAGCCTTAGAATTCCATACCAGGCATCCTTTTTCATTGACTCTACAAGGGTTCAGGTGGGATAGTATAGGGTAAATATTGGGGGTATATAGGGATACTTGAAAAGAAAATGGAACATTTTATTATTGGCTATATAGGGTTTAGGGTTTAGGGGTTTAGGGCTCAGGGTTTAGGGATGTTGTGGGTCTAGGGGTCGTGGGATGGCTAGTCGAAGCCTGTAGCAGTCACTGGCACTTGCCTCCTCCTTGGATGTGGCTATATGGTAGCGTCCATAAATAGGGTGACCTCAATAGAGACCCCAAAATACGATCATCCTTCTTCTAGGGACCCCCAAAAAGGTACCCCTAATTTTTTGAATCCCTTCAAATCCCTATAAACCACTATATCATACCAGTTTCCATTTTCTTTTCTATTACATTCCCCATTATTGGGGGGAATCTGTAGTTCCCAAACCCTAAACCCTAAATCCTAAACCCTAAGCCCTAAACCCCTAAACCCTAAATCCTTAACCTTTCAGGTTCCACCTGTGAAGCTTAGCCCCTGAAGTAGCCATGAGACCTGAATGCCTCAACCAAGTCCTAGGGTCCCTTTAAAGGGATCTCTATAGGGGTTTTATAGGGATAGATAGGGTTTAGGGTTGAGGGACTAGGGGTTAGGATTCTTCCCGGACTCCTTCAGCCCCCAGGTCTTCAAAACTGTCAAGGCGGACATCTTGTCGGCCCTATGCGCTAGGATTCCAATGGTATAGGGTTGAGAGATTTAGGGTTTGGGGTTGAGGGTTTAGGGATGAATACCTACACCATATGAAGTCTGAAGCCCAATCCATGTGAGAAATCTTAAGCTTCAGGTTCGTGTTTCCTGCCACAACCGCCAATAAGGACCCCTAATGATCCCCGTAAAATCCTTAAAAACGGTACGACAGAAATCTATTGCTCCAGGTTCAACTTTACAGTCCCGGAGTGCCAGCTGACATGCGAGCCTCCGAATCCGATCCCTTCAGCCTATGTCCTGGATGCGTCTGGCGATTGGGAATGTTGAAGCCTCAGTGAGGTTGGCCATACAGAAAGTATGGAAGTTACTTTAGGGTCTAGAGTTGTTAGTAGTGTATTAGCAGGGAGCGAGCGGGAATGAAGGATTGTAATGCAAGGTCAAACGAACATGATGTTTCCAAAAATCTTATTGGGCATTTTGTGAGGCCTATGGTCGGGATCCACTCCTCAATGCCATCCCCTAAACCCGAAACCCCACACCC